TGTACCTGGTAAAAACTGAAAAGAATCTTGCTATTTCATCCAGGATCATCGTGTATGAGGGCACGGTTCACGATAAAAATGGTTTCTCAGAAGACACCCCCTCATATATCTGTGGAATCTGAATAATTCCAGTAAACCATATGTGGTGCTCTCAGATCGGTAAACGGTCTAGGTGTTATAAGGGCCCGGATATTGTATCGTGTAAATAACACACCCACAGCGGACGATTTTCAATGGAGAGTAAACATCTATCACTGTAGAGGAAACATTACCTAAAGGGACTTCCACGTAAGAACACCAAACAACATGTCGTGACTAGTGGCGACAATGGAAGGCAGTTTGGACAGTTTTGGCTTGACGTAGTCAGTTCTTTGCGCAATTACAACGCGGGAATCTCGTCCAAATACTCTTCCTCTATCACTACCCATATGGTGATCTCGTACAACCTCCACCGTACACCTACATCTCCACTGTTTTTAGAAAGCCTATTTTTTGCGGGGACGACTTTTCCCGCTTTCTTCGCCATCATGCACTATTCTCTACCAACATTCCTGGTCTCCAACTTAAAAAGGATACTTCAAAATTATCGTGAGCTGTGCCCTCAAGCGTCAGTTTACATTGAATCTCTCAGTGCCTTTCTTTATCACAACTGTTGTTAGTCGATTGTGTTCGGATTTCTCCAAGTCAGGCTGGTAATTTGGCCATGTCTTCAAATTTCTGTGGAAAGCGACAAACGGACAATATAGAGACATTGATAGCTTTATAAATGCTGCGTTCTTTTGACCTTTCTCAGAAACACATAGTTGGTTTACTTGTGTTTTTATTCTGAAGTTGTTCTTATGCTTGAGAGCAGGAATGGTTGTTGAATTCTGAGAATGAGCGCAAGATGATGGCGATTATCGGTAGGCTCTCAATGGTGTTTCTAGTGTTTCGTGGCGATAGACGAGCTTCTCATGCATTCTGTATCGTCGTCCACGCCTCACCGATTCAATGCTCAGCTTCTTTTACCATTCTCAAATCGTAGACATTCAAATTTCAGGAGCCGACCGGATGTCCTCTTTTGGTGATTTCATCGCTTTATCGGAGAAATGCGATGAATTGACGGCCAAAATCATCAATAGGTAAGTTTTGATAGATCTGCTCAGTTTCCCTGCGGAGTTGTTGGTTATTGTTTAAGGGAGGTCTCCGACGGTATCGTCGCTCCCAGCTATGATCCCGCTGCCCTGAGTCTTCTGGCCAAAAAGAAGAACGGCAACTACTGCGTGCTGAAGGTTGTACAAAAAATTCCTCTTTGATGGCCATAGTAGTGGAAGGCCCTTCAGGTGAATCCAAACTACGTTCCCACCGAGACCGAGGAGAGGACCGTTTTTGGCTTGAAGTTGCGTCAGAAGCGTAATAGCGCTGTAATCAACGCGACTACCTTCATCAACGTCGTCGGAAAACATAACAATGTAAGTTCACTCCTCCACCATTTTCATGCTATGCAACAAGGCTCATATTCTTGGGAAAACCCAATTTTCTCATGTGTCCGTTATAGGAAATATGCGTTGCTTGAAAACCTAGCTGATTTTGGGAACGAGTATTTTCGCAATCTCACACGTTTTCTTCTGGTCCCCTCTCCAAAATCGGCAAAAGCTCGATATTCACTTTGTGGGGGAGGAAAATAAAGCTGATATTATGTGGGCATCATGGGCAGTTCTTGGACTTGGACTTGGGTGTCGCCGACCGTGGAGGCGCATTGTTGACTTCCCACACGCAAGAAAACTAAACTGGATTGATATGAGAATTCATGATATAATAAGATGGACAGTAAGTTGCCCCTTTGTGAGAAAATTTTCAAAATGTTGAAGGCCTTTTACTTGCGAAGATTCTAAACATTCATCAATTTGGGTGAGAAACATTTGTCAAGACAAAATAAAAATAGATTTTCAGTTGTGTTGTTGATAGATGGGTAATAGATCATTTTGAAAAATTTCTTCCTATATACTAAAAAAATTTCTATTTGGAACATCCAGTATTCTCTGACACAAAACTTTCAAAAAGGCCCCTCAAAGGGCCAGTTCAAGATAACATCGGGGTTATATTGTTTCAGACGAGTAATGAAAATGTCAGTCTAAAATAGACCAAAAAAGACAAAGAAAACACAGAAATCGACGTATTCAGAGAAACATAAGGCTTCAAGAAGAAGTAGAATTATGGGTTGGATGAAAATGTTTGAAAAAAAAGGTGTAGGAAGCGGTATTTGGATGAACTGTTCGGATGGCGTGCCATTGCTTACAGCTGGCTGCAGCACGCTACCTGCATGCGAGGTGCGGGTCCTAGTGGTGCATTATAAATGGTGCAACCTCTGCAGCTTTCACAACGCCTAAAAACTCGTCCGCATTGGATGTTTACCTGGGCTAAGTCGGTTTCCGGGCCCTTATAATGCCTTGCCTCGACTTTTTTTGACCATGCAGCGTCCCTAAGGATAACGTTGGGGGTCACAGGTTCATCCTAGGGAGAAATCTTGGAAACTATTTTGAACGTAAACTGTGCCTTTGATACACTTTTACAATCCTCAATAAGGTGTTCTTACTCCACTGAAGTTGGTGGACACTGGGTGTTTCAGTCTTTGAAATTTTTCCCGGAGCTAATTCCATTTTGCGAAAACGCATAAATTGAGTCTGAAAGGCCTAATTCTCTTCTTATTTCGTCTACACCTCAGTTTTACGTATTCCAGTTAAACAAAGCTGCCACCGATGACCTAATCGTAGCCACAATTGCACTAAAGTACGCTCAATCAAATTCGGTTTGCTTCGCTTCCCGAGGACAGGTACGTTCGTGTGTTGTTCTTCCACCAGGAGCTTCCCGTAGTGCGTTTTGGATTACATTCCGCAAGTGATGACATGATTGCCCATTTGACAACGCTCCTGGGAATTGCCCAAAAGTAGCATTAGATTTTTCCCGACATTCCATGATTCTTGTCTGGGTGGAAGTGACCAGTCGCTAGAGACATTTGCACGTTCTCCCTCGACAAGTATGAGATATTTGTGAGAAAGTGGTTAATCTAGTCGAAATTTTCAGGTGATTGGCATGGGAGCTGGTCAGCAGTCAAGGATTCACTGCACACGATTGGCTGGTGAAAAATCTTGCAACTGGTGAGCTTTATCTTGCTCTCTTCGCTATGTCCACCCCTACCAGAGATATGGTGGAGCCAAGTATACCGTTTCCCCTCTACTGGTTTGGGATTAAATGGGTCGTTGTCTCTCACACGTTGAAACACCACTAGGATCATAAATAGAAGTCGGGTGCATTGCTCGCTAAAGGGGGCTTCGTTGAATGCAGAGGCAGAGGGATTCATGTTTGTCTGACATTAGGGCGTCCATGTCCAATGCCAAGGGACAAATAGAATCAAAGGCTATTTTTGAAGGCTTGGGCCGCAGGAAATTAGATTGCTTCTATCATTATTGCCTTTATTAGGGAAAAGAAAAGGGAAAGAAGTTTACCTAACTCAATTTGAGTACCAGATCTTTAGACAGACATCCCGATTTCCAACAGAGGTGCGCGAATCAGTCGGGAAACACGGGGACGAATTCGAAACCTGAGACGTGAGGAATGCGGAAATCGTAAAAATTCCGTATCTAACCCTAACAGCAACATCAGTTCATCTGATTGTTTATCTCAGGAAACTCAAAAGTGTCCTTCGGATTATTGAACAACTCTTGGCTTGAAGTGATTTGCATAAACTGGCAAAAACAAATGGACAAGTAACATCCATCTTTACCGATGGAGTTCAGGAATTTTTTGCTGAAGAATATCAACGATTACGGCTTTGTAAAACCTTCTACCTTTACTAGCTCTCTCCTAACTTGATGTTACTCCATCTTGCCGTCTTAATAGGCAAGTTTGGGAGGAAAAATGCATTCAAGGGCATGGAGGCAATCAAAGCTACTAACAATAGGGTGGACTGAAATGATGACGCTATCTCGTGACAAGAACCAGAAAGATGATTTGTTTAGCCACTTGATCAGAGAAGTCATATTGGTAGTCATCATTGAAGGCTTATAAGTAGTTGAAGGACCAGTTCACGATATGTTTTTGAGATTTTCAACTAGGACGAACCTGTGTGCTTTGAGTATGTCATATGGGGCGGTCACTTTGGTCACTTTTTAATTCTAAAAGTTGTCTCGGAATTTTCGTGAAATGAACCCTAAAGGCACAGTTCACGATGAAAGTGGCCCCTGAGATTTCCTTGTTGTATGAATTCGAGGCTCTGCTCTGTTATACCTGCCTATGGTCGAAAACGTCCTGGATAGGGTACAATAAGGAGCCAGAGGTCGTACGGCGTGAATGCCACACCCATAATAAACGAGTTTCTACGGCTATGTGGAGGCTGCACTATCTCAATTACTCCCATGTAGGGAGTTCTAAAAACTTTTCATGACCCATGGCGACAGTGAGAGGCAGTTCCGGTCAATTCCGGCTTTAGCAGTCATATCTGTGCGCAAGGGGAGCGAGTTAAATCTCGTCCAAACACTCCTTACATGCCATTCCCTCGCGGTGATCTCGTACAACCCCCGCTTCCACTACTTCCAAAAAGCCTTGAAGTAGGCGGATTTTCTGACTTCCTGCGCCACCGATGTACTCCTCTAAATCGACGCTTCCGCTTTTCATCCTAAAATGGGTACCCTCAAAACTATCGTGAACTGTGCTCTCAGGGGCGTGAAGGCAATCAAAGCTACTAACAATAAGATGAACTGAAAAGACCACGTGATCTCGTGACAAAAACCAAAAAGATAGTTTGCTTAGCACTTGATCAGAGAAGTCATATTGGTAGTCATCGTTGAAGGCTTATAAGTAGTTGGAGGCTTAGTTCACGATATGTTCTTGGGATTTACAACCAGGACGAACTTGTATGCTCTAAGTATGTCATATGGAGCGGTCACTATGGCCATTTTTTTAACTGAAAAAGGTGTTCAGGGATTTTTGTGAACTAAACCTTAGGCAGTCATCACCTTAGAGTGATGACTGCCTTGGGAGTGAGTACTACAAAGGTCTCCAAGCAATAAATTAATGTAACAAAGCACCAGAGCATCTTCGGTTGGGTGAAATTGTGCTTACTTTTGGGATAATAAACAGTTGTCAAAACTAAGTTGATGGCTCGAACCAAATGGAAGGAGCTCCTTTCTTGCAACCTATATTTGTGCTGATTGAATTTTCCAATTTCAACTGCAATTTATAACACCGCTTTTTAGCGCAGGAGACTTCCTGGAAATGCATTAGCATGTGAAATGTGCACACCAGTTGAGTTTTTCGGATTTGGTTAGAAATTCAAAACCAGTCAACCAGTTTACAGTAAAAATTTCAAATTGAATGTGGTTAAGGAGTGATAAAAGGCACTGGCAAAGTAGTATGACTTTGGTTGCATGAGTATGAGCATGAGTTCTTTGTGCTAGTTAGCAAGCAGTCTACAGAGCATGGAGAACTTTTTTCCACTTGATAGGGGAGGAAATTGGGTTGGCTTTGGGATGATTCGATACATTACACTTTGCAAAATTCAAGTACCATCTTGAACTCCCGGGTGAGCTCTACAAAGGATCTATACGACTTTAATAGTGATTATGCCCTCTTCTCCGTAAGTCTTAGCATGGACCTCATACGTATCTATGCATCACCTTTATCACCTTTATCTATACTTCTTAAAATTTTTGAATGGAAAAAAATGAATTTTTTCTTAAATTTAAAACCTTTAGTTAACCTGTGATCTGGGGAACAGTGTTTTCTCGAACCACGATGAGGGAGTGACGAATGACGCCCAGGTATTCGAATACCGGTAAATTCTGCTCAGGCTTAGTATAGCTGAACTATTTCCATAAGGCGATGCGCGAAAAGGGCACGTCAAGGTATAGTAATGTAAAATCTGAATTAAATTCTTCTCGGTCAATTAATCCTGTTTTGAGATGGCATCGCAGTCTCCTCCACAGCTCCCGAAAAACCTTGCACTATTGTTGGAATAACTTTATTGATATAGCTCCACATGAGGTTCAGAATACCTTAGTGGTCACTTCCATTCAGAATAGTATAGACGTTTTGAGCATATTTGGCTTGTTCAATAGGCCGGCAGAGGACAGCCGCGTACAACTGTCACCTTTTTATCCTCCTACACGGGTCCGCTACCGCATTCCCGTCTCTGGCGAAATGGAAGGCTTGATTGGGCTAGGCGAGTGTAGCTATGGGGATTGACCCCTGGACCTTACGTGTGTGATAGTGCGCCACTTGCCCTTCATCACCCCCCAGTGTGCAAGACATATGTATGACAATCATAGGTATCTTACCCATGGAGAGAATCGGAGTATTTTTCGACCGCATGCCATCGAAAATAACAACCAATGAAAGAAGACAAGGGCAGCTTTTCGGAGCCGACCTCGAGTGCTGGGCGAAAGAGAGGAAGGTATCAAGAATAAGAAATTCCACTGATCAGAATGCTACAATGGGTATTTTGAGGCTATAAAGAAATAACTTCACGAAGCTAGATTAGCAGGAAAGTGAATTGGAAAGAGTAACGAAGAGTGTTATGTTTAGCAGTAGTGGATGGCGTGAGTTCTGCGAGGTAGGCCAGTAAAGCGAATAGTGTGAAAAACAGAAAAAATTGGCGAGACAGTTCAAATAACTTAAACAATACTCTTGGGTCATGCCACAAATTCGCATTCTTTTGGCAATGGGACAGCAGTGGGTTCCGCCAAGCCTTTCTTCGCCTTGACAGTTTTGGTCCCTTTGAGGCGTAGGTTCGAAATGGAGTACTGGGGTAGGTAGGTTGCAACGCACCCTCTCTCAGTCCATGCTGATATTGCCACTTCTTCGCCTTGGGTGGGGGGAGG